TTCATATGCTCCTCATAGCGAATTGCCTTCTTGAACTTCTGATGACAGATATGGCAGTCGATGATGCGATGCAAATGTCGCTCAGCTGCTGGTATTCGCTTGCGCTTTATTCTTGTTTTGGACCCAGTCCCCTCTGATTCTGAACTATAATCGTCTTCCAGTTGCACACTGTCGGAAGATCTTTTTGCACCAGATTTGCTCATGTTCCTAGAATTACCGCGTAGTCGTTGGGCCAGGGGCATGTCGTCGTCACCATCTGTGCTATTTGGCTCAAAGTCTATGTCATTATCGTTATCGTTGTCGTTCTCGTTGCTGCTTTCCATTGAGGACTCATCGCCAAACATTTGGAGGACACCAGGCTGATCTTCGACATCTTGTTTGACTTCTTTCTCAACCTCCTCTGCCTCCTTGTCAACGTGCTCAAGCATTTTAAAGACGTCCTCTTCATTCTCTATGATCTCCATCTTGTGGTTCAGCAAAGGATCATAGTTAATGCGATCCTCCTCCTCGCCAACCAATTCTCCTTCCTGTGTTGCAACATTCAGCACGTCAAAGTTGTCGATTTGGTTAGCTTGTGCCGCTGCTGGTGCGAACAAATTATTAGCGATCATTTCTTGAAACCTTTGAACGGAGTCAACGCATAGCTTCTGAAAGTCGTGCAAGTCGTTAAGCCGGCTGTAGCAACTGGTGCACAGATTCATCGGGAAACCGTCGTTCTGTTCCACTGAGAGAGATGTGCACACACAGAGTTTCTTGGCCAGACCAGGGACCAAAAACAAATCGTAAGCGGCATCGTTTCGCAAATGATTCAAGCAGATGCGGCATATTGTTTGTATGGAGTATTCACTCCGCTCATTCATCTTCGATGTAATGTAAATTAAAGACTGGCGAGAAAAAAAAAACGCGTCAGAAAAAGAATTTTTGGATGTTGTTGCTGTTGTCTGTTAACTTAACATGTTGTTCAACTGTTATTAACAGCGCGCACATATATTTAGTCGTTTATTTTTATATTTTCAACACATTTATAGGGCCTTTAACATTAAACAGTTTAGATTAATTTTTTCTGTTGTCGTTTTTTTTTTAGAAGACATAGTACTGGGAAAAAGCGGCAAATAAGAAATAATCTCCAAGTAAATATCTGCTAAATAGTCCAAATTCTTTGTCTCTAACACATTGATAACAAACAAGCCAAAGCGATATGGAATATAAGTCGATCCTATATGCAAACACTTAGAGGTTTAAGATAAAGTACGCCGACTAATGATCAATAACAATAATTACATATAAATATTTAATTAAATTAATATAAATAAATAAAACAATATCGAGTACCCAAATTAAAATAATCGGTTACTTATAGAAGTACATCGATACTTTTTCAGCCCTAGCACACAACTCTACATATATACATATATGTATACATACATATTTGCATGCATACATACATATATAATTGTGTAAATAGCGCCTCGATTCCCCATTCCAATACTGTTACAATGCCCGAAAATAAAACATATTTATAATTATATACGCGTTTATGTATATTTCCTTAAAAATAATCATAATAATCATGTCATTTTCATGGTGCTTGGATATCTTGAAAGACGTTAAAGTATTATTTGATTTTTTGTTATCTTATGCATATTCTTGAATCTGATACAGCACGGTTAAGGATCGGGATGGTAGACTGTTCATACGTTCATTTATCTTAGCTCTTAGTAACGTACCCAATGCGCTGTCTTCCGATTATATCTTAATGCTTCAAACCGGCTTTTAGGTGTTGCGCGGCTCTGTCCGAAATTCCATTTTTCTCAAAATCTTGATTAAATCGCATTGCTCCGCTAAGCTACTAAATTTCAAAATATTTAGTGAGTTTAATGCTAAGCCATAATTTGTATCTATAAAGTAAGCGTGCAATACCACACGTACCTAACAATGCATTATTGAATACATAATTGAAATGATTAAGATAAGGATAAAGTTATACATTTGCATATGTAACCATTCGAGGGATTCGCATAGCATAAAGGTTCTTAAGTGGACTTGGACTTGGGACTGGGACAGCTGGAAGATTTTATAACTAAATATCAAATATTGCTCACACTTACACTCAAAAACTTACTTATTACCGCCGTGATTTACACATGATCTAATTTCAGGGCATCCAAGCTAGTACCCTCAGCCTCTGCCTTCTGTCCATAGTAGCTATCGTAGGAGCCCTTCTCGCTTTGCACCTGTTTCTGAAGTCTGTTCAGTTGCTCACAGGCGGCCTCTTGAATCTTACGTTGTTCCTCCTCGGCCTTTCGCTTTGCCTCATTCTCTTCCATTTGTTGGGCGAGCAAAGCAGCAGTTGCGGCCGCACGTTCTGCAGCGGGATCCTGAAACTCTTCGAAAATCTTTGGTTGCCTTTTGTTGAGCTCGACCTTCAATCCCTTTGCTTTGCTAACAGACGGCTTGGGTGGTTTCTTGGCCTTTGGCGGCTTCGGTGGCTTGTCGTGCACCTTCAAGTGCGTCTTCAACACCTGCTCCTGACGGAAATGTTTGCCGCATATCTTGCACTCGAACGGCTTCTCGCCCGTGTGTATATATTCGTGATTGCGCAAGTATTGCGCTTTGGCGAAACGCTTGGGGCAGTAGCGGCAGGCGAAATCCTTCACCTTTTCGTGAATGATCTTGTAGTGAAGTTTCATATTGCCAATGTGGTTGAAGCCCCGTCCACAGCCTGGACAAATGTGCTGTCCCTCCTTCTTGGTAAAGTTGACCTGCGGCGACCAGGATGGCACAGAAACCGAAGGTATGGGGTTGACAGAGGTACCCGCCAGCTGAGATATGTCCACACGCTCAACTCGATGTGAGTTTTTAGGTTTAGGCGGAACTATTGGCACGGGCTTGATGTCCACAGGCTCTGCCATTTCCTGGTTCATAGTCGGGGTGTTTTGAGCATCTCCTTCGACTGGCGGATTGCCAGCAGCTGTTGGTGGTGGTATCTCACGCTTTTCGTGAATCTGCAAATGCTTTGTCAATCGCTTCTCGAACAGGAAGATCTTACCACAGATCTTGCATTCGCAGCAATTCTCGCCAGTGTGGAGTCTCTCGTGGATCTTGCAAGCGTGAGATTTGCCAAATGTCTTGCCGCAATATTGGCAGGCAAAGTTCTTGATCTTCATGTGAACCACCTTGACGTGGTTGGACAGAGCCTGTTTATTATGAGATGAATGATCGCACTGGCGACACTGGAACTGCTTCTCTCTAGTGTGTGTCAATATGTGCTTATTCCACTCCTGACGAGTTGTCTTACCCACGCCGCAGTAGGGACAAACGTGATTCTTCACGCCGGCGTGGCGCAAGAGATGATCCCTGAGCACACTGTGTATGTGGAAGCGTTTGCCACAGATTTCACATGCAAACGGCAACTCCTCGCCTGTGTGCTTGTACATATGCTTCTTAAGCGCTGTTGGACAGCGGAAAACCTTTTCGCACTCTGTGCATGGATGATTGCGGGTTTCAGCCTTGGCCACTTTATGCACCTTCTTCATATGGAACGTGAGCAATACGGATCGGGGGAATGTCTTGTCGCATCCCTCAAATGTGCACGCATGCACCTCAGAGAACTCCGAATGGGCGTGATCCATATGAAGTCGCAGACCACCAGCTGTAGTGAAGCCCTTCTTGCAGGTCTCCACAGTACACTGGAATGGCAATAGATCGTTGTGATGCTTCATATGCTCCTCATAACGTATTGCCTTCTTGAATTTCTGATGACAGATGTGACAATCGATGAGACGGTGAAGGTGTCGCTCAGCGGCCGGAATGCGTTTGCGTTTTGGTTTTGTTTTAGGCTTATCGTCATCATCATCGTCGTCATCGTCGTCATTGTCAGACTCAGAGCTAGAAGAATCATCATCATCATCAGCTTTTTTCTTTGCCTTCGATTTGGTTGCTCTGGTACTGCTTCGTAGACGAGACAAGGGCATAGCGTCGTCAGATTCGCTACTATTTGCTTCAAAGTCAACATCATCATCATCATTTTCGGTCTCACTCTCGCTGGAGGACTCCTTCGCCTTTTCCACTTCCTCCACATCCTTATCAACATCTTCTAGCATTTTGAAGACATCCTCCTCGTTTTCAATGATTTCTATTTTAGTATTTAGAAGCGGGTCGAAGTTGATGCGATCTTCGTCCATTTCTCCATCCGGGGGCGGTACTTGAAGAATGTCCACATTGTCAATTTGATTAATATCAGCAATAACAGGTGTGAAATAATTGTTGGCGACCATTTCTTGAAACTTTTGGGCAGAGTCCACGCATTGCTTCTGAAATTCGTGCAAGTCGTTCAGCCGGGTATAGCAAATGGAGCAAAGGTTTTTCGGGAAGCCATCGTGCTGTTCAACTGAGAGTGAAGTGCACACACAAAGTTTCTTGGCCAGACCAGGGACAAGAAACAGGTCGTAAGCTGGATCGTTTCGCAAATGGTTCAAGCAAATGCGACATATTGAGTGTATGGAGTATTCACTCCCCTCATTCATTTTGCTTATTTTGTTATTTCGTCAGAATAGATTGTAAATTTTATAAAAATTGCAAGCACTGTCAGATGAGAAAAACTATGTATACGCGTCCATAAAAGGAACGAGCATTTTTTTATCGGTTACTCACATGAGTACACACTAATATTAATCGTCCCTGGTTCGATTACAAAATGCTATCGATAGTTTTAGTTTGTTAACATATTATTTTTGAATTTTATTTAAATCATTCCCTAAATTAAAAGAACAAATCCAATTTTTATATCATTTAAAATAAAATATTAATTTTGTTAAAATACTTTATAAGTTTATTTTTTACCAAAGGCAGAATATTGTTTATTCAATAATTTGAGAACACCGATTACTAATTATATGCCAATATATAAAAGTTATTGATTTAACAAATTATTTAAGGAATACAAATTATATAATATGGACAAGTTAAAAAACATACATTATACTATGTAAACTGAATAAAACTTAATCTCCTTTAAGATCGTCCACACTGATACCAGTTTCGGGTTTCTTTACTTGAAAGCTTTCACTGGGTAGCTTGTTAATAAGCTGCTCCTTCTGTAGCATATGAAGTTGTGCGCATGCAGCCTCTTGAATCTTACGTGCTTCCTCTTCCGCCCTTTGCTTAGCTTCATACTCCTCCTTTTGTTGAGCAAGCAGTGCAGCTCTCGCTGCTGCCCTCTCTGCTGCAGGATCTTGATATTCATCAAGAATCTTAGGCGGCTTCTCGTTGAGATTCATCTTCGGTCGTTTCTCCCTATTAGGATCTTTTGGGGGCTTCGGTTCTTTCGGAGGCTTCGCCTCTCTTTCTGGTTTCTTCGGATTCTCGTGCACCCTTCTCGCATGTATTTTCATCACTTTCTCCTGTCGGAAGTGTCTTCCACAATACTTGCATGGGAAAGGCTTTTCGCCGGTGTGAGTCCATTCGTGATGCTGTAAGATTTGTGCCTTTGAAAAGCGCTTCGGACAGAAGCGACAGGCGAAATCTTTCACCTTTAAGTGGACAATTTTAAAGTGAATCTTCATGTTGCCAATATGGTTAAAGCCACGGCCACATCCAGGGCAAATGTGCTGCCCCTCCTTCTTAGTAAAGTTTACTTGGGGTGACCAGGATGCCACAGAAACAGTTGGAATGGGATTGACAGCTGTACCGGCCAACTCGGATATATCTACCCGCTCTAGCCTGTTTCCGTTTTTCGGCTTAGGCGGCTCTGTTGGTATAAGCTTCATCTCCACAGGATCAGTTGTGTCTTGGCTTGTCTGTGCATCATCTTTACCGCGCCCTTTTGTAGCTGTTGCGCGAAGCTCACGTTTCTCATGAGTCTTCAAATGCTTTGTCAAGCTTCTCTCAAAAAGTAAAACCTTGCCACAGATATTGCACTGAGAGCAGTTTTCGCGAGTGTGGATTCTTTCGTGGACTTTGCAGGCATACGATTTGCCGAATGTCTTGCCGCAGTACTGGCAGGCGTAATTCTTAATCTTCATATGCACAACCTTGATGTGATTTGCCAGAGCCTGTTTATTGTGTGACGAATGATCGCATTGATCACACTGGAACTGTTTTTCCTTGGTATGCGTTAATATGTGCTTGTTCCACTCCTGTCGGGTAGTCTTACCCACACCACAGTAAGGGCAAACATGATTCTTTACGCCGGCATGACGCAACAGATGATCCTTCAGTTCGCTGTTAATGTGGAAACGTTTGTTACAAATATTGCACGAAATCGGCTTCTCCTCTCCAGTATGCTTATACATATGCTTCTTAAGAGCCGTCGAGCAACGGAAAACTTTCTCGCACACAGTACAAGGATGATCCTTAGCTCGCGATGTAATGATTTTGTGAACCTTTTTCAGATGGTTCGTGAGTAAAACCGGCCGAGGAAATGTCATGCCACATCCCTCAACCGAACATGCGTGAACCTCTGAGAGTTCTGAATGAGCATGGTCCATATGAAGGCGTAGTCCACCAGAAGTTGTGAAGCCCTTCTTACAAGTCTCCACAGTGCATTGGAATGGCAGTAGATCGTTATGATGTTTCATATGTTCGTCATAAAGTTTAGTGCTCTTGAACTTTTCGTTACAGATGTGGCAATCAATGGCATCATCCTGTTTGTTTTTTGGTTTTGACATGCGTTTTCTTCTTGATTTGGTCTTAGGTTCTTCTTTATCAAAGTCATTATCCAGTTCCCATTCAAAGTCCGACGAATCTTTATCTTTATCCTTATCCTTGTCTTCTACCACAGGTTTTCTTTTGGCCTTCGATGCTCTAGTAACAGTTTTCAAACGAGATAGAGGAAGCGCATCATTAGAGTCGCTGCTATTTACTTCAAATTCCGGGTCGTCATCATTCTCGAACTCAGCCTCACTAGACAGTTCCTTTTCAACCTCTTCAACTTCTTTATCCACATCATCCAGCATTTTAAAAACATCTTCAGTTTCCACTACCTCGATTTTAGTATTCAGAAGGGGATCAAAGTTAGTACGATCCTCGTCCATATCTCCATCTGGGGCAGTAGCATTCATTAGATCAACTTTGTCAACATCGGCCATGACGGGTACAAAGTATTTGCTTGCGAGCATTTCCTGGAACTTTTGCACAGAATCCACGCAAAGCTTTTGGAATCCGTGCAAGGCGTTGAGTTGGGTGTAGCAAGAACCGCAGATGTTTTTTGGGAAGCCATCGTGCTCCTCCACTGAAAGCGAAGTACATACACAAAGTTTCTTGGCCAAGCCAGGGACAAGAAACAGGTCGTATGCCGGATCGTTTCGCAAATGGTTCAAGCAAATGCGGCATAACGAATGTATGGAGTATTCACTCCCCTCATTCATTTTGCTTATTTTGCCTTTCTCTGGACAAGTGTTTAACTTTTAAGAAAAATTAATCAGTGGCCGTGTCCGATGAGATAAACTGTGTATACGCGTCTATAAAAATAACGATAGCTTATGTATCGGTTACTTCTACGAGTACTCGTAAACAAGAGTGATTTCAGTAGAGGCTCGATAGTTTCATCGAATGTTAAAAACAACTTTTAAATAATTTACTACCATCCATACAAAACTTAAAAACAATTGTTCATTTGTTTATTAAACGCATATATCATATATATGTAATCTACATAGAAACATAATCATTCAAACCCATTCCAGTTTTTAAACTAAATAGTATTTTATATAAGCTAAAATTATTAAATGAAAAAGTATAACCATAAATATTATGCTATCCCACAGTTTAATTCTAATCTCTTTTAAGATCGTCCACACTGATGCCAGTTTCAGGTTTTTTTACTTGAAAGCTTTCACTGGGTAGCTTGTTAATAAGCTGCTCCTTCTGTAGCTTATGAAGTTGTGCGCATGCAGCCTCTTGAATCTTACGTGCTTCCTCTTCCGCCCTTTGCTTAGCTTCATACTCCTTCTTCTGTTGGGCAACCAGTGCAGCCCTCGCTGCCGCCCCCTCTGCGGCAGGATCTTGATATTCATCAAGAATCTTAGGCGGTTGCTCGTTAAGATTCATCTTCTCTCTTTTTTCTTTTTTTTCTTTAGAAACTCGTTTCGGTTTTGGTTCTCTTGCAGGCTTCGGGCTTGACGGGTTAACGTGTATTCTTTTTATATGCATCTTCAGCACGTTCTCCTGTCGGAAGTATTTATCACACATCTTGCATTGGAAAGGCTTTTCGCCCGTATGGATCAGCTCATGTTGTCGTAAGATTTGAGCCTTTGCAAATCGCTTGGGACAGAAGCGACAAGCGAAATCTTTCACCTTTAAGTGTATTATCTTATAGTGCAGCTTCATATTGCCAATATGGTTAAAGCCACGTCCACACCCTGGGCAAATGTGCTGTCCTTCCTTCTTAGTAAAGTTCACTTGAGGTGACCAGGATGCCACAGAAACAGTTGGAATGGGATTCACAGCTGTGCCGGCCAACTCTGATATATCAACACGCTCTAGCCTATTTGAATTTTTCGGCTTAGCCTGCTCCGTTGGCATAGGCTTAACCTCGACGGGATCTGTTACACCTACATTAATATTCTGCTTGTTTTGCGCATCACCTGCCCGTGATTTCTTATTTTTCGTTGATTCGCGTAGCTCACGCTTCTCATGCATCTTCAGATGTTTGGTCAAGCTCCTTTCAAATAGTAAAACCTTACCACAGATTTTACACTTGGAAACATTTTCTCCAGTATGGATTCTTTCGTGGACTTTGCAGGAATACGACTTGCCGAATGTCTTGCCGCAGTACTGACAGGCGTAATTCCTAATCTTCATATGCACAACCTTGATGTGATTTGCCAGAGCCTGTTTATTGTGTGACGAATGATCGCATTGATCACAGTGGAACTTCTTTTCTTTGGTATGCGTCAATATGTGCTTGTTCCATTCCTGTCGAGTAGTCTTACCCACACCACAGTAAGGGCAAACATGGTTCTTTACGCCGGCATGACGCAACAGATGATCCTTCAGCTCGCTGTTTATGTGGAAGCGTTTGTTACATATGTTGCAGGCAATCGGCTTCTCCTCTCCAGTATGCTTGTACATATGTTTTCTAAGGGCCGTCGAGCAACGGAAAACTTTCTCACACACTGTACAAGGATGATCTCTAGCTCGAGAAGTAATGATATTGTGAGCTCTCTTTAAATGGTTCGTGAGTAAAACGGGTCGAGGAAATGTCATGCCACATCCCTCAACAGAACAGGTATGAACCGCGGAAAGCTCCGAATGAGCATGATCTACATGAAGGCGTAACCCAGTAGACGTAGTGAAGCCCTTCTTACAAGTCTCCACAGAACATTGAAAAGGAAGAAGATCGTTATGATGCTTCATATGCTCGTCATAAAGCTCGGTGCTTTTGAATTTCTCGTGGCAAACGTGGCAATCAAATTGATCAGGTTCAAGTGAAGCTACGGCCTTTGAAACACGTTTGCGCTTCGCTTTTTTTTTAGGTGTTTCCTTGCACTCTTCGTCATTGGTATTCCACTCAAAGCTGGAAGAATCATCATCATCATTCGCGGTTGCTTTGGATGCTCTGGTCGTAACTCTTAAACGGGACAGCGGCAAACCATCTTCAGAGTTGCTGCTGTTGACTTCAAACTGTGGATCGTCAAAACTATCACATTCGCTCTCGCTTGAGAGCTGCTTCTCAACCTCCTGAGCTTCTTTATCCACATTATCCAGCATTTTAATAACATCAGTCTCCACAATCTCTATTTTAGTATTCAGAAGTGGATCGAAGCGATCATCTTCCACGTCCTCATCAGCCACTGGATCATTGATTACATTTATTTTGTCAACATCGCTTGTAACTGGAGCAAAGTAATTGTTAGCGACCATTTCCTTAAACTTTTGTACGGAATCAACACAAAGCCTTTGAAACTCGTGTAAGTCGTTGAGCTTTGTATGACAAGTGCCGCAAAGGTTTTTTGGGAAACCATCGTTCTGCTCCACTGAGAGTGAAGTACACACGCAAAGTTTTTTAGCCAGGCCAGGAACGAGAAACAGGTCGTAAGCTGGATCTTTTCGCAAATGGTTCAAGCAAATGCGGCATATCGAGTGTATAGAGTATTCTAGTTCTTCATTCATTTTGATTATTTTTATTGTCTTCAAAATGTTTACAAATTGATAAATACTAACAGAACACTACCCGATATGAAAAATATGTGTATGCGTTCATTAAAGGGACAAATCATTTGTGCAGACGAGTATTCGTGACTTTGTCGTGCTTAGTAATGGCACTGTATGGTTAGTGGTACTGTTGCGATAGTTTCTTTTCGTATTTAACTTTTCTATTTTTAATACACAAATATTATTGACATAAATATTGATTTCCTTCAATTCGTTGTACATACAACATTTTTACAAATATGTAATACTTAGTCTATATACCATATGCGTACAAACAGCTTAGAATATACCAAAAACGTATATTACTCATATTAAAACAACATAACGGCTTATAACTGATGTGCTTTAATAGCATCCACTCTTATACCAGTCTCAGAGCTGTCTACTTGAAAACTGTCATAGGACACTTTTTCGATCAGTTGTTCCCTTTGCAGTTTCTTCAGCTGCTCGCATGCAGCCTCTTGAATCTTTCGTGTTTTGTCTTCTGCCCTTCGTTTAGTTTCGCTCTCCTCGATCTTTTGAGCAAATAATTCCGCAGTAGCTGCAGCCCGTTCTGCTGCAGGATCCTGATACTGCTCATAGTTCTTTGGTTGACGCTTGTTTAGCTCGATTTTTGGCCTCTGATGTTCTCTTTTTTGAGATGTAGTCTTCGCAGGCTTTGGTATTTTTGGGGGTCTGTTGTGTGAAATCATATGCTTTCGTAGTGATGATCCGTGGCTAAAGTGCTTATCACACAATTTGCAACCATACGGCCTCTCACCTGTATGCGTATATTCATGGTGGCGCAGATATTGCGCTTTGCCAAACCGCTTGGGACAATAGCGACAGGCGAAATCCTTGATTTTATCATGAACAACCTTATAGTGGAGTTTCATATTGCCAATGTGGTTAAATCCACGCCCACAGCCTGGACATATATGCTGGCCCTCCTTTTTAGTGAAGTTCACCTGCGGCGACCAGGAGGGCACTGAAACGGACGTTATTGGATTGACAGAGGTACCCGCCAATTGAGACATATCCACACGCTCAACTCTATGTGAATTTTTCGGCATAGCGCCAGATGCATTCAGGGCTTTCGCATCTGCCGGTGCTGTCGACTCCTGGATTATGTTTAGTTCATTGCGATCAGCTTCATCGCCTTGGGTTCTTTCATTGGATGCTTTGACTTCGCGTTTTTCATGAATCTGCAGATGCTTGGTCAGTCTCTTTTCAAAAAGAAAGATTTTTCCACAGATCTTGCACTCGCAGCAATTCTCGCCAGTGTGGAGTCTCTCGTGAACCTTACAGGCGTGCATTTTGCCAAAAGTCTTGCCGCAGTACTGGCAAGCAAAGTTCTTGATCTTCATGTGGACGACCTTAACATGATTCGCTAGAGCTTGTTTGTTGTGGGAGGCATGATCGCACTGGCGACACTGGAACTGCTTTTCCTTGGTATGTGTCAATATGTGCTTGTTCCACTCCTGTCGAGTTGTCTTACCCACGCCACAGTAGGGGCAAACGTGATTCTTAACGCCGGCATGTCGTAGTAGATGGTCTCTGAGTTCGCTGTTTATGTGGAATCGTTTGTTGCAGATGTTACAGGAAATGGGCAACTCTTCGCCAGTATGCTTATACATGTGCTTTTTTAGCGCCGTTGGACAACGAAAGACCTTATCACAATCTGAGCACGGATGAACGGGGTTCTCGGGCTTGCATATGTTATGCACCTTTTTCAGATGATGTGTGAGCATTCGCGTTCTAGGAAAAGATTGGTCGCATCCTTCTACAGTGCAGGCGTGAAGTTCGCAGAGTTCGCGATGAGCATGATCAACATGGTGTCGAAGCCCTGCGGCAGTAGTAAAACCTTTTTTGCATGTTTCCACAGTGCACTGGAAGGGCAAGAGATCGTTGTGATGTTTCATATGCTCCTCGTAGCGAATTTCGTTCTTGAATTGCTGATGGCAAATATGGCAATCGATATGAAGTTCACGCTTGTTATTTACTTTCCGTTTGGATAAGCTAACTTTATCTGTATCCACTTCAGAGCTAGATGAATTATTTTCAGATACAGCAATATTCTTATTCTTTATCTTTGTTTCCAATACACGAGTAGTGTTCCGTAAACGTGACAGAGGCATGGCATCGTCAGAGTCGCTATTACTCCCCACATCCACATCATCATTGTCTTCATGATGTTCGCTTGCACTGAAGAGGTTCTTCTCCTGCTGTTGCCCATTCGCTTCTTTGTCAACATTTCCTATCATTTTGAAAACTTCGTCTTCATTATCAATTATCTCTATTTTGGTATTGAGGAGAGGAT